ATCGATGCTCATGCTGTTTTCATAATATCAGTCACTAAGTTGGCGTGCTTGAAGTGACATCCGGGATTCGAACCCATACCCTCAGAGTCAGGCACCAAATCGTCAGCACACAAAGTCAGACGCCTAACCCGCTCAGCTACCGCGGCCTCCCCAAAAATGGATGTCTGACAACTGGTAGTCTAGACTGCGGACCATGTGTACCCCTGTGATAAGTGCAAATTGGCACGGCCCCCACGACCGAAAGCTATGATTACATGTACACAATGCCATTTAGAAAGTGGTTAAATGTAACATGTTACATTTACACTGAGCTGAGCGGGTTAGGCGGCTGACTCTGAGGATGTGGGTTCGAATCCCGGATGGGACTCAACCCCAAAAAGTACTAGAATTTTTACTTTAGTAAGAAAGTGTAAACTCCAATTATAACATATGTAACAAATACCGGAGAAAGCGTAACAGCGGAATATAGTTACGAGACAAACAGTTTGGTCTCCCCTGGCTCTTGTTCTAGATTTTTTTACACGTTCAGCGTTTGATTAAAAGAATGTGAATTAAATATTATATAACAGATTCGAAAGCCGTCATTGTTGGGGAGATACTTAGAGCAATATAGATCGGCTTACCTGAGGAAATGTGTAAACATCGCATGTAAAACAGCACACAAGTCCAAAATGTAAAACTGTAAGTACCCATTTCTTGCAGGAACGTGGAGAACTAACCACTGCTCATATTTACACTGGCATGTCTTTCTTCGCTCAAATAGTGAAGCATTATCTCCCATAACCACAGTCTAATAATCCCGTAAACTGTAACTGATTTATAAGAACGTCATCGAATCATATATATTAATAATGATTTCGATTTCCGTTTTCCTTGATCAACACATATCAGATATAATATGTATCAAATGAAACGCGTTGATATTACCGCAGATTCATTAATTATTTACCTGTGACAGAGGTAACAGAGTTGGTTGGTCTCGTTTAACGCCGCTTTGAAGTGAAGCAGGTCTAAGGTGTTAACCATTTGGGCGGTTTTGGAACCAACCTAATCGTGACAAACCGGAATTCAATCAATGATCCTTGGTTTCTGGTGCGCTCAGGGGACGCAACTCCGCACAGACGACTGGGTCATGCCTGCCCACATTTTCCCCTGAAGACTTATAATATATTGAAGTTGATAGTTGCTATATTCCTTTTTGTATAAATACATGATGATGTTTAATGTCTTTTAAGGATAGATATAAGGATGAAATGAGAAGAAAATATGCCGTTCATTTTAGTTATTTAATATCGAAATGAAGACCGTTCAAATTTATATCATGAGGCGCCTTCTATACACAGTGGCGGTAGTTATTGAAAGATATCATGTTAGGCAAGTCATTGGTAAGTATTTAGAAGTTGCAATACGATGCCATCATGAAATTAATGCAACACGTCACAATTTGATTCCGAACTCACAAAAGTCCAGAAACTCTCCGCAATGTGGCCACTTTCTGACAATGGACTTGAAAAAATTAAACATGCATATAGGCCATTGATGAAAATATGATTTTTTTTTTTCGAAAACTCAAAAATTTAAACTCGCTCACTTTGATTACTATTTCAAGGCAACTTCTTGCTGCTTCATCATAATATTAAACTCAATTAAACTTACTTAAACTCAACAGAACCGTTTCAATGTTCCTAACAAATGCTTCCGAAAGGCATATTAGATTCTGGTGTTCCGAGGATGTGAAGGAGATACTTTAAAAATACGATGCCATAATGTTTGTAAGAAAATGAACGAGCCGCCATGTATATATATCCAATGAGGTTTGGGCTTTGTGACAAGGAGCTGATAAATTTCTAGGTAAGGAGAATCAATCCTAGGTTGAGAGAACTTATCAGTATGTATGTGTGAAATGAGTGTGGTCGTAAACTCTTAATGTAAATACCAAGTATTAGAACTGAGATACATGGTGACGACAGCCATCTCATGCACAATCTTTTTTTGGTTTTAAAACATAACACCAAAACACATCTTATGGTTTATACATGTGTCAGGTAGCGCAACACACATGTGTAGGGTGTCAATCCTGACTTTCAGATATTCAAGGAAGGTAGATTAACCTCAAAGGATATTCAATTGACAGGCTTATTGATTCTGCTTATCACACACTTGTGATGTTCTTACTTTCATTCATAGTTAACTTTGCATTTATGTATGAACTGGTAATGCGGCGTCAGCAATGCACGTAGTATCTACTGTACATACTGTTTACAGTGCTGGAAGTGGTAAGCATGCAGTGGCCAGTACATTCAAATTCACATTTTACGACTGCGAAACTCCCTAAATGCCGACGATCCCATACACTGAATGACTGTGCAAATATTGCATTGAAAGTGGAAGATCTGTTAGTGAAGATGCCTTTCTAAGCTCTAAGAACTATAATTTTAAACAGTATTTCAAGTGTAAACGTCTTCAATCGAGCATATTTTACCTGAAAACGTTGATGTTCTGTATAGCTCATGTCTATATTTATAGATAGTCCAAGTGCAAAGAGAAACCTAATCGATTACTTTACTGACGTGCATCTCATGCATTACTGCCTTTATAAAAAAAAAAAAAAATTATCCAAATATTATATCATGTCTTCATTTCAGGCGTAAACCGGATGATAAAACAGTGTAAATACAGCTCTTGATGCGTGTGATCGGTACAGACAAAATAAAATAACACAAAACAAGTGGCTGAGTCTTTAATATAGACTGACAACGGCAAATCTGCAATTTCTGAACACTACAGTAAAAGTAGACACACCGCTTGTCTGTTCTCGAAACCATATCTCTCATTCTAACCATGGCGGTTTTTCTTAGAAACCTTACTTCTTTTGTTTCTTACTATTTTTATTAATAAGCTAACAAAGTTACGGGTGTTTGATGCAACACTACTATTGTTTCTCTATATCCCCTTCTTGAATAGACTGCCAGCTTTCCCCATTGACCAATGTCCGCATAATTCAATTGCATCGTGTATATGATCGAGTGGTATTTATGATACACTTGAAGGAAGATAACTCTCTCTATTAACAAAGCTTCAATTGCAGTTGGAAGATTGTCTGCATCATTAGAAATACCGAAATACACTTATGATTAAACAAAACCCACTTAACTGTCGTAAGCAGATCACGCCCCATCACCACCAGCCGCCCCGCTACTGTCCAAATCCAAACGAAAAACTAGTTGAATCACGAAGCAAACAAACATGATCGATTGTGACGTTGTGTGTTGGGGCAAGATAGACCCGCGTAACTCACAGCATGCTCTATATGTATAGTCACAAGGCACTCATTTTACTTCCCTGTTCATACCTGAGACCTGGTCGTCCTCGAGGGACGTTTACTCGTGCATTTAACTATCAATAACACATAGCGACCTGTTGACGTTAGTCGGTTCGTCATTTCATCGTGCTGGTTATAAAAGTAACGTCTTTGGGTTTGTTCAGACTATTTAACACATTCACTTACATAGAGTCTACTGTTTGCCTACGTGATGTAGATACGACTGTAGGTTTATGTTTTGGAGTACCTAATGGATTCACAGGTACGAACATAGACGAAGACGACCTGACAGCGTGATTATATACAAGCAGTCTAGTCATGAATTGACGAATGTTGTTTACATTTCCTGTGTATTCGATGGCGGATGTGCGTGAATTTGAACAAGGCAACTTGCTACATATTGAATAGGAATCCAACAGTTTAACGGCATGCCTGAATAGAGACGCCATGTTCTGTATCCATGGACGTACAGAAAGCACGCATTGAACTTCTGATGACTGAGATCTAACAGCCATGCATGTTGAAAGGGTGTTTGTGATCTGTCTACATTTCTTCTTGGCTGTATATGGTGAGTAATGGTACAGACAAACGTGTCTTTGTATTCTGTATTTCAGTATGTGTAATGTGATTATTTCCTCATAATTCCGGTTGCCGTATGATTTTATATCGCATTATGTACGTGTGATTTGTTGTGACTGACGCGCAAGTGTCAAAAGCCTTACATGCCACTGGATTTTAAAGCTCACAAGCCATTTTAAACATTAACTGTGGTATGATACATACCTTTGAGACACCTCTTACAACAAAGTCCAAATCAGACTTAGACTCAGACTGTGTACAAATACACACTGATAATTGATCACATTTAAGACAACATTACACATTTCTGCAGCGTTTAAGCAATGTTTACCTATCAGCATATATACGCACTAGTTTTGTGAATTGAAGTCACACAGAATTTCATGTTTTAAAGATGACGCTGCATCTTTGCTTCGAAACGTCTCGTTTATTTCAAAACAAATAGGGTTTTACCGTCAATTGGAACAATATATTCAAGTATATTTTGTCAAGTATGTTTGACTGAACGAGTTTCAATATATTCAAAGGTGACAAGACTGAAAACACATGTATAGAGGATTTGACGAAAGTCTTTACAGTACAGCTTCAGTGTCCTGCCGGGGAATGGATACATGTCGTGCACGAGGTGTATGGGGATGGAGATACGACATGTCGTGTGAAATCTGCTGAGTCGTGTAGTAAGAAACTCGACAGCAGCCAGTATGGCCTGGTCGTAAACTGTAATGGGAAACAGTCATGTTATGAAGCCATGCAGGTACCGACCATCAACAACTGTAATATTACCGATGCTGCTGCTGAAGTAAAGTACAACTGTATCAAAGGTGAGACTTCAATATGGTATATCTGTATCAAAGGTGATCATTGGAGACACCTGTAGTAGATCTACGTATAAACACTGATTTCTTTAATATCAGCCACTGAGTCCATTATAGACATATTATTGTAAATATTTACCATGAACGTCATAAACGAATTTGCAGACGCTGGATGCACAGTCGGATAGCAACTGCAGTATTACCGGTGCTGCTCAGTGCTGAAGTAAAGAACTTCTGTATCAAAGGCAACTTTGGTCGTTGACTGTTAGTAAGACAGTAACAAATCTTTATGAAAGTAACCAGAAATATTTATTTACTAATAATTTCCCCATTTAAGAACTGTGAAATATTTGGTTGATTTGGTACGTGTCATGTTATTGTCTGGATTATGCGCATGTGCTACACGAAAATATAGAAACAAACCCTGTCAATGAAGGCGATGCTAGTACTTGTCTCGGTGAAGCATATATATGCTCGAGCTGGTCCCAGGTGGATTATTTCGTTGTCTTGGAACATGCACATATGCACATGCATTTCATAAGTCGAGAAGCCAAAGCAAAAAAGGTGCTCGTGTGAAAGACTCAAGGAACATGTATAACGTGGATCTCGCACGACCGACGGACTCTAGGTCGCGCTAACCATTTCAGCGATTAGACACCAGGTCCTCGTGATTAAACCCATACTTATAAACCGACAGTGACGTTACTCTATTGTTCTTAGGGGATACTTTTTCTCGTAATATCCCTAAAATCTGATACAATCTCGCTTCTTCGGGCAATTATCTTAATAACGTTCCTCTGCCCCGTGATTTTCTGAGGAATAGCCCTTGACTTTGAATTAATACTTGTTTTGAAGATTGATACGGCTTTGTCTTGCCATCACTGAATTCGATCTTAAAATATGGCGTCATTGACAATTTCCGACATGTAGTGCTGACACCCGGTTTCGAACACGTAACCCTTCGCTTACTAGCTTGGCGGTTTTATCCACAAGGCTACGAAGGATCGCTGTAAAGAATGAGATTGTTTGTCGGTATGAACCGTGTGTTCCTCCCAAGACGGGTAGTGCGGGCAGCGCACGTGCAGGGCACGGCTAGCACGTGCATTGCGAGGCGTCGGCTGCCAGTCTCATCCCAGTTGATTTCAACAGTAAATACCAAATATTGAAATTATATCTAAAGTATATCTTCGGTCGGTTTATAAGTTGGATATAACATGCAAGTGGGCATTATTGAAAAGTAAGCCCTCTTCCCTTGGGAAATGGGCTTACTTTTCAATACTGCCCGCGGGTCATGTTATATCCTACACTTAGTACTACATGTATATCAAACTGACAACATGAACAAGGAATGATATGGATAATGTCAGTGTATGATTCATTTTACCTACACGTATGAGTCAATATTTAAACCCAGTAGTCTTTTATGCATTGTGTTACTGTTTCCGTAACTTATGATCACTAGCTCTTTACCATATTGCGGACCATGGTATACTGCGTTTTCTATCAAGGTTTTCATTGTCACGTTAGGTGTTTGTCATTCTCACACATTTGATCTCGACGTGCATGTCATCTAACCTCATTCTCAGCACCCATGTTATTGTAAGCTCAGCTCACAATATACTGATAATTACAGGACGCTATCAGGCTTGAATATTATTGACCAGTTATGAATATCGACTTTTGTATGGTGTCACAGCCGTGTTAGGCAACTAGATTTTCCACCTCCTACTTCTTGTGGATGCAGATTCGGTGAAGGTAAATGCAACAAAAAATACATAAATTATAGTAACCATGGAGACGCATTACAGGCCATGCTTTCTATAATTATTTTACCTTTTTCAGAAAGTTCATTCTATCGTTTCTTACGATACGAAATGCATGGTCCTGGACGTATAATGCACGCATCAGTTACGAAAAATGCAACATTACAATTATATTGACTTCTGAACAAAAACAGCCACAATTCGACTGTTGTGACCTTGACCTGTGCCCTTGACGTGTTACATGTATTGGAGACGCAATGCTTGTTGTATCAGAAACACTCAGAGCATTGACTAAATATAGTTAAAATTGTGATGACTTCGCCATTTATATATAGCAAAAGCGGTCTTTCTAAAATTGTATGGTTACCATGGAAACAACCCAAAATGACAAGAGATCCTGAACTTTCCAAAGATACATCTAGCTATTCCTCCGGTAGACGTGTTTCAACACCGAAAAACACTGCTCTATAAGCAACCAATGCTTGTCGTAATAACGAATAGACAATACCATTTACAAAGTCATCAAAAGTAAGACATGTTATATTGGGATTGCACTTTGTCAATAAAGTATAGATTCATGTGTACCATTTGACCTCTTTCTAAATGGCATTGTGTATTCCCAGCTGTCGGCCGATGGAGCCGTGCCAATTTACACTTGTGAGAGGGGTACACAAATTCCGTGCTCTAAACTACAACCGATTAAGTGCTTGACTCTGAGAGCGTGTGTTCGAATCTGGAATGCGACTCAACCAAACACAAGTACTAGAATCTGTACTTTACTGTGAACGTGTAATCCCAATTATATCACGTGTTACGTTGTCGAAGGAACCGACTAATGGGATCGAGTGGTCAGGCTTGCTGATCTGACTGACATATGTCATCGTATCCCAATTGCGTAGATCGCTGTTCATGCTGTTTATCACTGTCTTGTCTGGTTCAGATTATTTTAAGACTGCCGCAATATAGCTGGAATATTGAGTATTGCTGAGTGCAACAAACTTGACAAACCATCAGCAATATATATTGTAAACACCAAACGCAGGATGCTGCCAACTACTAATTCGTATGCTAATTTTAAAAAAAAAAAATGTTTTTACTTCGACTATCGTTGAATTTCATGCCTACTGTAATCTAGATTTTGACCTTAGTGTTGCCAGTAGGACAGAACATCCTTATCCTGGTAACAATACAAATCAGTAACATTGACAGTAATTAATGAGCGTTGGTTCTTGGAGCTGCTAGTTAACTTCATATCAACCTGGGGCGGTGGGGTAGCCTAGTTGTTAAAGCGTTGGCTCGTCACGCCGAAGATCCGGGTTCGAATCCCCACATGGGTACATGTATTCTGGTGTTCCCCCCGCCGTGATGTAGCTGGAATATTGCTAAAAGCGACGTAAAACCAAACTCAGTCAGTCAGTCATATCAACCTTGATCAACATGAAGCCAAAGCAAAATCTAGCATGTGTGAGCAATTCGCTCAATGTGACTCATGACATATGTCTCAAATCCCAACATAAACCTTATCTTACTTGTCCTGTGTCATTGTGTTTCAGGTAGTATGAACATGTGTAGTCCAGTCACAACAACAGTAAGCGGGTCGGTGTACCTCCATTCTCCCGGCTTCCCTGACAGTGTCGGTGTGACCAGCAGCTGTGTTGTTAGGATCACAGGGCAGACTTTACAAGTAACGTTGGTGGAACAGCGGATGAAGTCAGGGATGCTTAACATCTCCGGTGACGGGAGACAACTCGGGACAAACGTGAACGTGAACCAGCACAACAGGGTATTACCTGGAACAGCTGCCGAAATAGTTATAGTCTACGATAACCATGATCAGGATGGATCAAATCTATGGATACGCGTTGCCGGTGTGTATTAATCAAACTATCTTTTGGAGTATCCCATATGATAACTGTCATTACTGTGATAACTGTTTATCTAACTAATACATTAACCAGAAATACGAACTGATGCCTTTCTAACTAGTTTACTGTAATCACTGTAATTGTTATTGTAACCGATTCTTCAGTACGTAAATGACATGACGTATAGCCCTATATCACGCTAGAATTGTCTTAAAGATAAACATATAACTTGGACCTCGAGAATCCTGCAGAAATAACTTGTTCATAGATTCAGGTCAAATGAACATAACTATCAGCGGAGAAAAATTGAATACATCAACCACGACTACGTCAACACAGCAGCCGTCACAGAGTACAACCATTCCAAGTACTTCGGACACACCAACAACTGAAACAGCGGCATTTAAACAGTCTACATCTATTGGTGAGTGTATACTGACGTTGTATGACCTTAATTATACGTTAAACGTTTTCAGCCGCTCACATGAGATATTTACCGCCATACGTGTATTAGCAGTGAGTTTCTCTTGTATGAGTATGAACATTATTGATGTGCACGATACATTAAACAATTGTGATCGAACGCTATTTCGGTATGTTTTCACTGCATAGCAACAACATTATTAAGGCTTTTGAATTAGGTTTACTTATATGTCTACATCTTTTCTTGCAGTTCTTTAATACATTTGAAAAAGGTCCGCGAAAATTAAAGATGATACATAAATAAAAACAAACAAAGCAAGCATATACATATCTATCTTCCTTGGAACTACATAAAAAATCTCAAGTTGCAGCGTCTTTTACGACCGCTACATCTACGCATGGACATACTACTAACTCGACTGTGAGTAAAGCAACACAGTGGCCTTCCAAATCAAACGATGATGGTATCAACAGACACATGTAACCATACGTATTTACACGCATTTCTTCACGGTGTGTGCACACTATATTCTTATATCGCATGTAAATACACACAGTCGCTATGTGGTATATCAGTAATTTAAAGTCGATCCTATGTCTATATTCCTTGAGAACTACATGAGTAGTACATACTTTAGTACATACCACCAGAACAGCAGAACTGTTGTAACAAACATTTTCTCCTCCATGTCCCTATCAAATAAGGTTTGGTTGCAATACATTCAGTCGTTTTCTGACAGAAATACTCACAAGACAGGCCAAAAGCTAAATGACGGCCACATGTAAGGTTTTGAGACCATGTAAGTGGGAAAACATAAACCTCTCTGATCACAAACTACATAAAGTGTGATAGTGTCACCTTTGTATCCTGCAAAGGCATATTTTGCAGACTTGTTCACTGTTGCTGCGAGGTGAATATTGTAACCACTGACTCTGCTGCCATTACCACTGCTATTAGATTCTATACTGCCCTTGTTTATACATTCTCTTCTGGCATTGCAATTACATTGCAGTGGTTTGTGTTGATTTGTAAACCTAGATACTGTTATACTACAATTATTAATTGTAAAACATTTCTGTGTTCTTTGTTGGTTCACACTACTTGCGACCAGACGAGAGTCATGTGCAGGTATTCATTGCGCACAATTTCTTATAAAAACGAACGAAAAAACAAACATAGGACTGAAAAACTAGTAGGAACGAATGCAGATAACTACTCAAAGAGATGGTATAACCAACGGTTGCTATGAAACGAAGACTTAGTAGCATTTACAATATATTCCTACCATAACAAACAATTATAAATACATGGGGTAGCAAGTTCAAATTTTGGTACAGTGATACAACGGTATGAAAATGATTTACTGACCAGTTGTGAAGGTCATATTCTAATAATTATGTGCATCCTGGTGAATTATACAAAGAAGA